TTGAAAAAAAAAAAAAAATCATTTCAGGTAAGAGATGCTCAATTTATATTATTTACCTGATTATTACTTATTTCTGTTCTATAGTATGGTTGCCAAATAGTTGCTATGTTTAAAATACATATTTGCCAAGTAAGTGTCTTAAAATAACATACTTTTAAATAACTTAAGAGATGAGGAACAATTTGTTTGTCAAAATGACTCACTTGAGGTGAGGGATAACTGGCTTTAAAATTTCTTAGCTGTGTTAGTCATCTCCTAGTTGACGTTAACTTAATAATTTCAATGTACTTTTATCAACAGTACCATCTAAAAAATTTTGAAGTCACACCTTTAAAATCTGGTAAACCTCATCTTTGCCAATATCAGAGCTGAAATTAATTTTTGTCATTTGGTTAAACATTGACAATTATAAAAGAAAAATGAGTAATACTGAAGATACAATTTTATGGCTACATCGCTGACTATAATTATACATCAGTAATTTAGGATTTAGGGATAGGAAGAACACAGCCAACGAAGGAGTTCAAGTCTTAACATTTCATTTTAAGCTTTTAAATAGTCCTTCTTACCTATCAGCAGCTTGGAATGAAATCTGAACATGTCTGCAACTTTTGCATGCATTCACAGCCCTTGTTTTGTCTATCTTTTTGACAGCTGCTCAAGAAGAATACTTTCTTAACAATAATGATCAATTTTCGATTTGTCTGAATTTAAAATTACTTGGTTTTAAGGAATGGTTGAGATCTAATGTTGTATTGAATCACTGTGTTATTTGTATTTAAATTTCATGTAACATATTAAAATATTGGTGAAATAACACAGTGCCTGAGATTTGATTTAAAAATCCTACAAGCCTCCACCAAAAATAAACAAATAAATTGCTATTTTCATTATTGAAAAACATTCTGCTTCAGTAAAATCATCTCAAATTTGTATCAAACCACGTGATTTTATATGACAGATTTAAAAATGGAAATAGCAGGGCAATGGAATGCCTTTTATAAAAGTAAATTATTTGTGCAGAGTACGATCTTCTAGAGCATGATCTTCATATGTAATATTCAGTGTTAAATATATAAGTAATATGACAACTAAAACAATTTTTTTTTGTATGCAAGTATTCAAGTAACAAAGTTCCTATAGCAAATAGATATAATTCACACCATCCATTATTTTTGTTTGTTATCTGATATAAGGATTTTATTGGCCCAAATATGGGGAAAAAAAAAATAAACCTTTTTTTTTTTTTGAGACGGAGCCTAGGTTGGAGTGCACTGGCACTATCTTGGCTCACTGCAAGCTCCGCCTCCTGGGTTCACGCCATTCTCCTGCATCAGCCTCCTGAGTAGCTGGGACTACAGGTACCTGCTACCACACCCGGCTAATTTTTTTTGTATTTTTAGTAGAGATGGGGTTTCACCATGTTAGCCAGGATGGTCTCAATCTCCTGACCTCGTGACCCGCCCACCTTGGCCTCCCAAAGTGCTGGGATTACAAGCGTGAGCCACCGTGCCCAGCCAAAAAATACCTTTTTAACAGAGATATTTGCTCATAGAGCCAAATGTTGTTTTTGTTTTTATTTAACGTAAAATTGTATTAGCCATTCAACTTTTAGACCTATGGACTGAAGTTGGAAGAAATTTTAAATTACTAGGCTAATATAGTCTGGAACCGAAGTATTATAGCCTTTGAGAAACCTAGAAATTGGAAATATAGAAAACTAGATATTCCTAGACACAGTTCATAAGAATTTGTTGTTCTTTGTGACTGGTTTCATGTGAGAATAGAAAAAAAAAGGCGGGGAGGGTGTTTTTGTTTTTTTTTTTTAAAGTATTTTAGTTGTATACTTGAAGAACAAAAAAAAGAATGGTGGCGTCCTTGATTCTAATAAGATAGTTACTAGGAATTATTTATGAAAATCAAACTGTATGAGAAATTAATGACAAGTAGGTAATTTTTTTTCTTTTTCATCCGTTTTGGTATCATAGATACTTATTTCAGTAAGTTTACATGTCATTCTTTTGAACTCGTGCTAGTATATTGGGGTGCGAAGATGTCTGTAAGAACACTGTAAATTCAACAATAAGCTATTTTACTTTAAATTTAAACAATAATATTTACTATCTCTCTTGAGTTCTCTCTCTCTCTTTTGGGGAGTGGTGAGGGTAAATAAACAGATCAATCTAAACTAGTTGCTTTCATAACCTAGTTCCCTAGAGTTCTATAGAGTAGCATTCTTCTGTCACCTCTAGGATAGAAGTAAGGAGCTGGTCTGACTCCAGGAGTCCTCCTTCCCAGCTTCAGCCTGGCTAGCATACTTTCATCTTTTTTACACACTGGGAATTTCTGTCAGATTTTCTTTGTTTTCGTAGGATTCTTCAGTCCTAGGAGAAAAAAAATTGAAAACTATTAGCCTGTGTGGTCTTTGAGGATGTTATCAGTTCACACACTTTCATTGAGCATTAAATAAATTCAGATAGGCTAACCTACATAAATTGCTGTCAGCATAATGAAGTAGAAAGAGAACTTGCGTCCAAATCATCAGTCAAATGCCTGTGATGGTCAAATGCGCACTTTAACCTTCCAGGTTATGTTTTCCATTTGTAAAATGTGATGATGTCCTTGCCTTGCTTACCATTCAGAGTTGTTTTAAGGTCAAAATTTTTATCATAGTTTAAATTTCAAGTTGGATCAAGAGTCAGCAGATTTTTTTTT